ACCCGTAGCGTGCATATGTTCTCTGAAATATGTTGCAACAGAACTGCTTCGAGGAAGGTTTAGACATGACAAATATTGCTAAATGGAGTGAGCTTGTTACACTGGCTTTGAACGGTCTTCGACTAATATCAGAAGTCGCTGCTTCTCAAGAGTCGTTGCTGTACTGAAAGAATTTAGGTAGCGGGCCAGAATACCTTTCAAGCACGATAACTGGACATAAATAACCAACATCTTTTTCGGTTATGAAACTAGCACCAGGTTAATAAAAAAGACTTATTCGGATAACGTGTAGACGTCTTTGTCTTATTTAGAGTTGTCGAATCGAATAAAATGGGGCACCGCTCGAACGAAAAATCTTAGCAGTGGTACTCTTTTAAACAAGATGGATGCTGATCTATTCCTGCCATCTAATGCCGATTCAGTGAGACGACGATCAGCCAAATTGCAATTGCAACCATCTGTGGATAATCGACAAGGATTAATCAACTTCTGAATACGACAAAAACTTCGAAACAGCCGAATAAATACTTTCACTAATATCATACTGGTTTAATAATTGAGGAGGGTTTAGTGAAAGTCGGGTTTTTAGACATCTATAGCGATAATGTGTACAAAACCATCCATTAGTCGACAATATAATGTGTCTGTGTAAATGTAAAGTAATAATGCCATAATGACCCATCTAGTTGATATCGAGACGAAGAAAAAGGGCTACCGAAGTAAATCACTCATTTGAAGATAAACAGAAGGCAATGGACAGCGCAGTATAAACGAAAATATAACGGTGTTGAAGTGCAAAGATAAGAGAGCCATTATTATTAAAGAATTTTTTGTCAATCTAGCGAAGACGCGTGTAACGCGTAGTGATTACAGATATCTCGTTGGTTCGACTCATTTCCCTCGACTCATCAAAGGTTACACGTCTAGATTCTGCAAATTGGCACCCAACTGATCTGGAAGGACAGCAGCACTGACTATATGCATCGATAGGACACCTCAAGTTATATTCTATAGTCGAGATATGGATGTATTCATCTCTACGTTACCCGGTAAAGTCAAGTGAATGGTGCTTCCGTCAGGAATTCGTCAACGCCGAAAGCTTTATCGTTTATCCTTTATTCTTCACCTAATAGAAAATAGCCTTTACCTCTGTAAACTGTCATACGCCTATTATACCAATGGCATACATACCATAGAAAACACTCTAGAAAGTAAAGGTTATATATCGTTTCAAACACTTGAACTTAAAGCAAACATGTTTTAAATCCCATACCGTCATTGCTTCAATATGCTTCCTGTTCTTATCTAATACATTTTCTTATGCCTACCGTGATGCCAATTTAATCGGATGTTTTTTAAAAAGAGCCCGTCTCTGTCTGATATATTTTCACCCGCCGAATAAGTTTTGCAACATGGTACCCACTGGAAAACCTGAGGCTACATGTTAACTCCGCCCACCGCAACAAACGTAATGTAAACAGCATATAAGCAGCAATAGTTATATTGATATTCGATTATATATTCCTTTTAAAAATTTTATTTCATTTTTGCTTCCTTGTTTCTTGTAGTAGAGAACCCAGTTCTCGAGCTCTCCATTCGCACAATCAGTATTAAGCGCTACGTATTTTACGCATAAACTCTTCTAATCAATGAGCATTAAATCTACCCTAATTCTCACGTGAATCTATTTCCCATATTTTTGTTATCCTGTTATTGTTACAACTTTTATTTTAAAAAATCTTAAGTTACTTAGGTATGAGGTTTGAAGGGGCTTAAGGGCTTTTTTACGGCACCAACGACACTCATCTAGGAAATCGAGATAAGTTAACTCACATAACCAAACACTCATTTAGGAAATCGAGATGCACCAACGACACTCATCTAGGAAATCGAGATGAATTAACTCACATAACTAGTAGTGCGTCGAACGATATGATTAGGTCAACGACACAGCGAGCTGTACTCCCAACTATGCACCACCACGTTTACCGAAGCGATTATTACGTCCAGCTCAACTCTACGCTTGAATATGCATCGTATACGCTTATAGACGACAGTCCACACTCAAGGCTGAACGTGTTCCTTCAACTACGCGACGTCTACGCTTAACACCGCACTTCAACCACCGTGAACACGACAGACTTATTGAAAAACTTAGTTCAGACTAAGTATAACTTTGCTCTAGCCACCGGTGCTTCGATAGAAGCGGAAACCGATAAGGATAAAACCGAGGTTTGTTCATGAACAACAAAAATTTCTCACCTCATCACAAGCCGATTGTCAGGCGACTCATTGCCAATTAAGTAAAAACGCAGTGGATTTTGAACACCATCCCACAACATTTAGATAATGATTTTTGGAAAAACTGAAACCACCTTCATATGTAACTTATTGCGTATTGTTGCATTGAAACAAGAATAATGTAAGTACCCGTTTTTAACTTCAACTCCTAGATTTCCACCAATATTTTAGGCGACTAAGTGGTAGACGTCACTATTAGCGGTCGCATGTTACGACGCTGGCTCCATTTTCGGTACTTGTTCCCTCTCTTGGAATAGCACTTTCGATAGTTCTTCGTCGCCAAAAATTAGACCTGGTCACGAATGTGTTACTACAGTTGAGTATAATTGATATAAGTATTTGAACTGTAGGGTGAGAAACAGTGCAGTAGCCGAATCCACGCGTGAAATCCGAAGACCTTCGTGGACAATGGATGCAAGGAAACAAATCGAATTTGAGAAATGCTGGGAACAGCACAGTAGATGTGAAAACGCGTCATATAAAATAAAATAAAAAATGAAATAAGATTACATACCAGGTGCGATAAATCGTTGACCTGGAAATTTAGAAATGAAGGCAATTAAAGGTGAAGGTGGAAAACAAAGTAGCTACGCTTATAAGCCATATACGGCGCTCGTCGTCAATATGCGATTCAGAAGTTTTAAAATACAAATCATTCGATTACATAGAACACAACTGGGAAAGGAAGCAAGCGCAAATGTCGTCCAACGCAGAAATTAAAACAAAGCTAAAGCTCATGGCTTTGATCAATCCCTAAGGGATGCGCCATGCATTCGACTTCATTAAGTATCGTTGGAGGTGATCGAATGCATATCTGGCCTTTACAATGACTCGCAGTGGCTTACCGATGTATCGAAGCAATGCTGCTATCCTCCCAGACAAGTCTGGTACCAATTTGCCGACACCGGAGGGATGGAAGGTTTGGTGGGCCATGGGCGCGAAGATCGATTCCACGTATGTGTCACAGTGGCTCCTCCAACCATTGCACTATATGCGCCCTTGACGCAGGAATCATGCACAGTAATAGCAACGTATCTGATCAGTTCACTGCAGGACTTCACACTAACGTTATTCATGATCAGTGTCGATTCCTTTATAATTAGTATATAAAGAAGAAATACTGAAGAAAAAAAAGAAAAGCTGAAGAAGTAAAAAGATTAATAGAGAAAATTGGCAGAGAAAAAGGCAAAGTAAGGGCCTCAGTGGTGCAGTTGGTAACAACTGAGCCCCAGAAAAGGCTAATCGCCGCTCGATCTGTCATGGGGTCCAGGTTTTGCAAATGTTTCGGCATGATAGTGGTTTTATTTCACATCGTACCCTACCTCGAAAAGCATTAGTACGCAAAAAAGTAGAAATTAACAGGGTTTTAATTAATTTAATTTAACTCAGTAGAAATCAACAGTGTTGGATTTTTTACTTGTTGCCCACTTTTTTTTAATGGTGCGGCACTACGTGAAATACAACCACAATGATGCTGAGATGTTTACAAATCTCGTGCCCCAGACAGAAAACTGACAATGGTGGGTACACCTCGAGTCCCAGAAAGAAAACTGCCAATGGTGGATACATGCTGACAATAACGAGGAAAGGCACAAATCACTCTTAAAGATTCAAATAGAAGGTTATCGCTACACCGACATCGAACTCATTCAAAGTCGCTGACGTCGCCACACCTTCAAGCAGCAGCCGATAAAACACGTGGGATGTTTGAAGACTTTCATGGATGATGAGTGCGAGGCAAACGAATCGAATGCAAGACGAGCTGGGTTCCGTATATATTAGCGTATATTAGATGTGATGACGGGTCATGTGAAACAAAAATAGAATAAAAACGCATGTCCTAGAGTAGGAAAGCATGACAAATATTTCTTCCATATATCCGTCACGTCCTATTCACTAAAGTTATTGAAAAATTACTGTCGGTCGTTGAAAATGTTTCGTTGTGGTAGATGTTTTGATGTGAATAGATCAATCAATAGATTACCTCGTATATATTCACTCTTGAACGTAAAAAGCACCAATCACAGTGATTTCATCTCCCGTTGCCTTCCGACTCCACTCACAAGGCTATACATTGCAGTTGGCTTTACAGCGACACAGTTAGTTGTGTATAAAAGTGGAAAGGCCAGACATTCTTGAGAGGATTGCATTTCGATGAACACTCACTTCTTGTGCTAGCAGGTGGCAAGGTCCTTGTCATCGTTCACCCCAGCGATGAGCTCCAGACGAGAGTCTCAGAGATCGTAGCGTAGCGGCAATAACAAAGACCTTCCATCTTATTGTAGCCACTCTTTCAGGCAATCAAAAGTTATTTAGAGACACAGCATTGCAGTTATTTTCGCATTTACTATTGGTCAATTGAGCTACAGTGACTTGCATTCTCATTTACAATCGTCTTCTCATAAACACTAAGCCTTCCTCATCTACGCAGCCACGATCTAAAACAGCGACGGAGTAATGCCCGAACATCACTAGTTAGATTTTTTCCTTTCGTCGTCATTATTACTCTTATGTGATCTGTAAAGCCACAGTTGAACCTTATGGGAAGTGGACGGTGAACACCACTAGAGAGTGGAACTGAGGACGGTACCATCAAAGTCGCAGAAATAAAACGCATTCCAGGCCACACAAAATTAGTGGGGCCACATGGAAGAGAACAAATCGATTTTAAAGCGTCGACGCTTCGACTGAATTTGGTGATGTCAAATAAGGAGTGTGATCTAGAGGTTAGTGATTTGCTAGTAAAGCGGATCTCTGGCTGCCCACCACTATTTCTTCCATTTGGTTCGCTTTTCTTTGAGCACCTTTCCCTAGCCGCTCCTTGTCAGCGTAATGGCAGTGATTTTGCATGCTCACTGAAGAATGCAAAGAAACAACGACAAGTGGAAACAAAGAGGATCGTAGAGCTTCGAATAGAACAGTTTCTATAAAAACCTGATTTCGCTTCAGTTCTAATGCCAAAGAAAGAAACGGGAGGACTTCGCTTCGTCTCTCTCCAATCGAATGCCGATCGACAATTTAATCTACGCTGAGACGACATCATTGGGTCGGATTTCGTCACGTATGAGAGAACATGACTCTCAATAATGATCGCTCTCTTCATACAATTGACAATATGCTCCTTCGCTATTCTTATTGTTGCTTTCCTGGTCATCCGCGTTACTTTCTAGATGGGGGGAACATCCACAAGACGGCACTTGAGGAAGGCACGTCCTTGCCTTGATCTACGCGCCGATATCGATTGCGGCGACGAGTTGCAGCCGCATGTTCACTCCTCCATTCGGCACTCGTGCACCGTCGCCCTTCTGATTTTCCAAATGTTTCAAAGTGTTCAGACATATTTCTTTGTATGATCAGGCCTGGATAAGGCAGTGGATTCAGTCCAAAAGATAGCCAGCAGCTGATGAAATGCGATCATTCCGGCTCGTGTGGACAGATTGTATTCACTGTCAACGATGTCTTGTAGCCTTTTGAAAGGCTATTGCGGTCCTTGAAGAGGGAAAGAATTAGGATTGAAAGTCCTAATTTCGTACCGTAATTCTTCTTTCTTCATTCTGCCCACCTCTTTGAGTAGTCACACTCCTAACGTTTCGTCGTTTTTCTCGTTTTGTATAGGACCAACACGTCCTTTTTCACCCACCTGATGTCGGTTGTATGCTGATAGGCATGGTTCAGTGCTGTTTTTAATGAATTTGCAACGAGAGGAATTATATTTTCCAAGGTGAACAAGGGTTTTTTGCGAACGAAGGTGCTCGTGAAGAATGCGAGAGGTTCTCTTAATGTTTTGAGAGCAACAAAATTCTTTGGCATTTCCAGATCATTGCAGGTGCCCATTCCCAACGGAAAGGAGCTTCGCTTTCGATGCGGCGTGCGAGGATGTCATGCGTCCGGAAAGTCCTACTCGATGGTCACTATTTACGACCACCTCGCAAGGCACTACGCTCATCATACTATGTACGCCACCAGTTTTTCCTATCAAAGGGCGTTTTTCTGTGAGCTTTCCCAAATCCGAGAATACACGTGTTGTATTGAACTTAGAGTTAGACGTTGTGCTTAGTTCTATTATTGCGGAAGTATGTGTGGCATGTATATCACTATCCACTATTCGTTAGCAAGAGCCACTAGGGAACCATATAGCTGTTGGTTTACATTTATTTGGTCTTCGGCAACAGCCAGGTTCTTTCTTGCCCACGTTTGGCTTGCTGTGTACCGTCGATTGCAAACATTACAGGCAGTCGATCGCATTAATTGTGGAAGTGTTTTGACCGTCACATTACTTGTAACATCAAAACTCGCTTTGTTGTGCGTAACTCCAAGAAATGGATAGATGATATTGTAGATGAATTTTTAGTGTTTCTTTTTAACAGGTCCAACGATCATTTCAACTTCCGATGCACGAAATGCGGCTTGTACTACTACCAGTATGGATTGACGATATCGTGTGCTTGCACAGAGTGTAGTGACACCGAAAATGTACGTTTAAGCACCTTCCACTAATTCTGATAATTCAAAATAGATGTTTCTGCTAGGAATGCGTCCAACTAGGAACAGGTTATTCTCGTCCAGTTGCTCACCGGCACGTCGACTTTTACGGGTACGTGAAACTCCACGCTGTGCCTGTGTTTGACATGAAGGAAGCTAATCGAACGGAACGAAGCAATCTCTTATCAACTCCGGAAAGAGCCGAAGGTAAGTAAGCGGGTAGGAAGAAAAAGGGAACCATCTTCTGAATGTCACTGTGATTGTTTCCTGTTGGTCCATTGGTCTGATATTTTTGTTGTCCAAGAAGTCTGCTACAGAAATTGAGGATAAACTGGTCTTTATGAATTCTAATGGATGACTTTGGAAGTGCCCTCTTTTCGAACTACCAATTCGTATTCCGGTTCCTGAGAAACACTGAATTTTTCAACGTCTTTAAATTAAAAAGATTTAGAAGTCGAGTCGGCCATAATGAGGTCCCCTATCGAGTACAACGACGGAACTCGACGAACACCTCTAATCGACGACGAGGATGAGGACTACGAGTGAGTTGGAAGTGATTCTGTAATCATATTGACAAAAAATATCTTTTCTAAAGAAGTGGTGTAGAATTGCTAAGTATAGTAATTGCTCCTGTTTTGAAATTCTTTATTTGTGGTGACACCGTTTCACTGGATGCCACGAAACTTCCAAAATTTGAACAGATGTTTTGCTAGTGAAGCGATAATGCCATACAAGAATTGTTTTCAAAAATGGATATGGCTGAGGTTAACTGGGTATATTAGGACATAAGCGCTCTTGGTGAATGTAGCTTTGAACATTCTTCATTAAGATATCGTCGTAGTGAGCCGAAAGTTCACTTGAAATGTATTTCCAATGCATTCTGCATATTTCCAGGCCGGCCTATGCTCGAGTTTTTCGGAGTATAAATCGTAAAGGCTCAGTAGCCTCTGTCCAAATTGGTAGTGGAAACGCACAGGAAGAACGGCGGGATAGAAGAGATGGGTGCAAATTTTGGAGTCGTTGTTTGCTCGTTAACTTCGGCAAGAGGGCGCGAGTGGGGCCTATGATGTTTTTCCTCCGCTGGACAGTTACTTTATCATGTTTTTTTCTGTTTTGTGTTAAGGTTCTAGGTGCACGTGGGATTTCATTTTAATCAAAGAACCACTACTGTACATTCCTACTCTATCTAGTCGTATTTTATTAACAGTGTTTTTTTACGAACTTTTCCCTGTTGATCTTAAAATTATTGTTCCTTCCTCACTTTATTTCTAGAACCCTTTGACGACCACATGATTCAAAATTTGCTTAACCATCCAGTATGCTTTTTGAGCGTACTCTACAAGTTGTTCACAGATCTTGAATCACAAGTGAAGGAGAGGCGATGCTCAAAGAACTCAGCGGTGTGGGAAAAGTGATCTAACTACGCATAAACTGGAAGAAGACCCAGTCCGTGAAAAAGCCATGTTGCGAAAGCGGACAAATGGAACTGCATCGTTCTCCGGTTATAGAATCCACCTCATCTGTGGACCTTGAATGTTTATTGAAGATGGGAAACAACATGAAAGAGGAATTAGACAAGAAGGAGTGCGGCTTGGGTCGCATTCAAGCCTCTCAATGAAGTCGCGAACCAAATAATGGAACCAAAACTCCGCGTTCAGTTATACGATTCAACACTCCTCACAGCGCTTTGATATTTAGCAGACGTAGAGTGGTACTTCAACTATGACAAGAAATCGGCGCGCCACCAACGGAGTGCTTGAACGTTGTCTTCTTAAATTTAACCTACGCTCACAACGTTTAGCCGGAATGCGCAACTCAGATCTTTGAGACCTTTCGCTACTTGGGATCAAGGCGAATGTACATCGATATCGAAACAGAGATCTGCTGGTCACGTAATAAGAGTCTCAATAATAATAAGAAGAGGAAAATAAGTAGAGTAAGAAGAAGAACGAACAGTCGCAATTTGTGACGAATAAACGAGAAGAGCAGTGAAGTAGAGTCAAAGAGAACGAAGTGTCTTCTTTTAAGACTACTCAAATAATGGGTGGACGTGTTCATGACTAACGTCGGCCATCAGCACTTGCAGATGGAAGCGGCCTCAGTAGTGCGGAATGGTCCTGTCGGCCGTCACTATATTCGAAGCAGACCATAGATTTGTTCATAGCGATGGAGAAGCGAGTGAAAGTTTTTCCGGGAGTACGATGTTGCCCATTCATTTGTGATTGTATTGGGTATAAGTAGCGATTTCTTGAACTGCCTTTGTATTCATATGATTTACTAATTTACTGCCTTAGAGGGTATATCCTTTCTTCAGGTTATCGAACACCTCGAAGAACATCTACTGTTCGGTCGTCCACCTGGAGAAGTAGGCAAGCGGAACCGCTTGAAGGAAGTCCACCACGGTCTCCTACCACAGCCAAAATGGCGCGCTTTTTCTCTTGATGCACTCTAGATCTTTTAGATAACTCTGATGTTTTCAGACTCGACGTCCGAAACCGCCATCTCGCTCACAGGTATTTTTTTTCTGTATTTTTCTTCGATAGAGTTAGTGTTTTTTTTCTGAAGAGCTTTCATAAACTCAAATTTTTCTAACTTAAAAGAACTCATCAGGGCTACTAGATTTCGGTGTTTATAGATAAAGTTTCGTCCATTTTCTTGACTATGGCAATGTATCTTGGCTTTTACTTTAATTTAATGTAGTCTTTCGCCTGTATCTCCCTTAACTATTAGTGCCACCAGGATGTGGTACACCATTTTGTGATATGAAATAATCGCTTTTTTTGCAGAAAGTGCGTTTTTCTCCTCATATGCCTTCTTTTTATTTTCTTCTGCTTTTTTTATACAACTCATCTTCACATCTGCATGTGTGGATCTCAACACTTTTCGCATTAGATTCGTATCCTCGCATTCGTCATCCACTAAGGTGTTCCAACCTTTACATGTGGATTCGACTGCTACTTGAGGATTTTCGTTTCTTCTTGAATGTCGTAGAATGCTGGTCGAGAAATTCTTTCTGGACACCTGCGATAGCCCTGTTGGGGCGTTCCCATTTGGATTGCAAAGAGTGATTTTTTCCCAGACAAGTCCTGTACCAATTCCGTGACTCCGGAATGATGAGATGCTTGGTGAGCTTAGAGAGGTATTGAACTAGCATTGTGCTCCTTATGGCCGGCATTACTAACATTGTGCTACTCGCCCGGAATGCCACCATTATTGGTAAAACAATGTACAACCATAAGCACGTCATTACGATTTTGTCACCTGAAGAGTTGATGAATTTGAGTTAAACATAAATTTCATGCCTTAAGGGAAGTCGGAGGAACTCGGTTAAGATTGGTTTTTTGCAAGTTTTTCTCGAGCATTTCTTAAACAGTTAGAATGCAATGTGAAGTATACTTCCTCAACTGAATCATTGTAAGAATTTTCAGCCTTGCTCGTCCAGATCGAGCTATGGATCCACGTTGCACGCGCCCAACTTCAACTCATCAGAGTAGGGTTATCACATTCCTTGATGGCTGAAGAGAAGTTATATGTATGTGTGTATATACATGTATATACATACAATTCATGCTTTCAGCAACCCTCAGCGTGTGGACAATCTCCCACTACTTAAACCACCAGTGGAGTCATCGCCCCACTCATCTTCTGAAATGAGACGTGGTAATGAGTTTGGTTCTACCACAGCGAGTCGACCACCTTGTCCACCAACACCTGGACCTACGCCTGTACCTTATCCGCCGCCACTACTAACTTTTGCTGGATTTTCGCAGTTGAACTTCCCATGCGGTAGGTTTATGTTTCGGCAAATCCGGTTCTTAACTGTATTTTAATGCGTTCATAATTCCTAATATTTTTTTCGCCATATGAGTCATACATGCATGGGTAATATGATCGAGAAAGTTCCATTAGTTTCGAGAGTAGAAATATCGAGTGTTATTCTCATCGCGCTTGTTTCACAGCGATCGGAGGCGTCGTGCAATACGCACGTGGAATCGATCCCCACACCCATGGCCTACCAAGCCTTTCATCCTCCGGGGTCGGCAAATTGGTACCAGACTTGTTTGGAAGGATAGCAGTACTGGCTCGATACATCGGTAGGCCAGCACGAGTCATTGTAAAGGCCAGATATGCATTCAATCACCTCCAAACGATGCTTAATAAAGTCGAATGCATGACGCATCCCTTAGGGATAGATCAACGCCGAGAGCTTTTTTATACTTTATTCTCATCACCCCTATCAACGTTTTACCGCTTCATTGTGGCTGGGAGGTGCTCCTGGACGTCGGTCTGCTATGTACAGCGGTGGAATTCATCCCCACGGCAGGGTCTTCCAAGATGAGGAGTCCGGTTTTTCCATCAGGAAGCCTAGCTGAGAGTACACCAACACTAGGATCCATCACCGTCTTGGTATCATACAAGTCGCATGGCGGCAAATCTCCCTCTAATCCACAAGGACTGCGACTGACTATGGTGGTGACGACTGGGACGCAACCAGAGATCCGCAATGGCTAAACCAGCAAGACTCCAAAACTGGAAATTTTGCTGGGCCTGCACAACTAGTGAGGACGGGGGCCGTTCAAGTATCCAAGCAATTAAACAACCAAAAGTTTTTTTTCCTCACTACGTAGAGCAGGCACGAAAATTCCCATCAGATGTATAGAGGTAAAAAATTTAGCTCGGTGAGCGTTTTTTGCTTCTTCATAACAAGATTCGTGCGGGCAAAAAAATAACCTGAGGGATGATCTCATGTATGACTCAGAGAGCCGTTAGCGGGTAAAATGGCGGGGTAAGTTGACTGCCGTTCCATTTGTTTTCTTGTAGTTGAAACAACGTTTTATCAGAATGTTATGTTTCGCCTTCACATTCATTCTTAAGTCGATATCAAAATTACTCGTTGCCATCTTTCATGGGAGGACCAGCAGAGCAGCGCTATGGTACTGTGTTGCTGTTTTATGTTTTCTGTACCTTTTTATGCTCCAACATACGATTGGTAGTAGCAAAGGAACTAGAATTTAATACTGTGTAGGCAAATAGTAGGAGCATTTTCGTAAATCTATGGGTTGTAGATCCTGTGCATTTGTGGTCTCCAGGAGTCCTACCATTTACGACAATGCCAAACCCACAGGCACCATACGCTGATCGATCTGGTTCAAACACATCGACAGCGCAACTAAATCCAGCGAGTACTTCGGTACGGAATCCGCGTGAACGTAAAGGTGGCACGAAATTCATGGAAACTCTTCCACATATGGTACTGCTTTGTTGTTCTCTAGATATGTTGTCTCTAATTTGTAATTCGACACAAGATTTCTACAATAGTCGTTGTTTTTCAGACTCCTATGAAACCTGGCGTCCTGACGCCAAGGAGAAAGCGGCGGTCATCACGACGTGAGGATTCTGATTCGAATTAAGTTGGGATTTTCTGATTGCCATATGTATGTTGTTAACAAACAGCTATGAATTTTAAGCCCTTTTTGACCTAAAAGTTTGGATTGCAATGTGTTTTCTTTATGAAACGTAAGAAATGTTTAGTGTTTTCTTTAATGAAGGAATTTGAAGATTGATCTGCATGCATATCTACAGGTATATTATTCGTTTTAGTAAAACCTTGAGTGAAAAGATAACAGCGAGTGCTTTCGAAATGTAGAGTATAGGGAATTAGGGGCTTTTAACACTTCAGAAGTTCATTTATTCTGTTATGTATCATTGGAAGTGCAAATGGATGTGGATTGGTGTCATCATGAAACATATTCTCGGAAAATGGGCGTAGAATTACTAAATATGACAGAAATGGCAGTCACATGTGTAATATCGAGCACTGATGAGGAAATGATATGCAGCGCAATTCCAACATAGAAAGGTTTAACATTAGTGTGCGTTTATGTACGTGTACGCAGACTAGGTAAAACTATTCCAACCTCACGTTAGCTTATCTATCCAAGGAATTATTGGTTGCTACGACGAAATAAAGTAAAAGTCGAATTTTTCTTATATACTTGGTTGGCTCGTCGTTACTGGCTTGCGGGCCACATTATAATCTCCGTATTCTCGGAGTTCCGCTGGTTTACCCATTGTGGCTCTCTGGAATTCCGAGGTCAGCCAGGCCAAAGTCTGCCCGTTGTCGCCACCACCAGAGGCAGACGCCATCCTTGTGGATCAGGGGGATTTGCCACCACGCGATCAGTTTGTTACCAGGACGGTGGCGGATCCTGATATTGGTAAGTCGGTTTTTAGAAATTAAAAATATGTTTTTGTTATCTTTATACGAAGCGACATCACGTATTGTGGGGATCCCAACAGTTCTTACATTCTATTCGTTTCCTGCAATCCCTCATCTATGAAGATCTTCAGATTCATGTATGGGTTCGGTTATTGCCCAAGGAGTTTTAGTCTCTCAACTGGGTTCAAGGCAAAAGGAAAATATGATGTACTTCATATATCTCGAGTGATGGGAAAAGCTAGCGCGTGAAAGGAAATAAGTTTTGATGGACTAATCCAAGTCGCCTGATAATAGGTGGGAAGAGTACTCAGGCAGGAATGATACTTCAGATTTCTTCCACGAAGAATTGATTCCGGTGATTGAAGCATGATGAAAACCAACTGGCAAGATCGAGTATTGTGGCAGAAGTGAACTAGAAGATCCAACTATAGCCCACCATTCATTGATCGTTATTTAATTATGACTTGTCATGGGTTTTACAAGACTCTCCATTCTGATGAGCTCACAATTACTGAGCAGAATGTCTTCCATTATATTAGTAGACATATTATTTGTTGGCCGACTTTGGTAAAGCCTGTGGAAAGATTGGTCTCCGACTAAATCTCACAGAAATGATGTTCATGAGGAACGGATTGGTTTCGTATGCTCTTATGTATGCATAAGAAACCTGGTCGCTGCGTAGGCAGGATAAAAGGTCACTCAGCGTTATCGAACGCGCAGTCGAAAGCACGATGTTAGGAGTATACCGTTTCGCAAAAGTAAGAGATGGAATTCGAAGCTCCGACCTGAGTCAACGATCAAACATTGAAGACGTCGTTCTGTACATCAAACAGTCGAAGATAAGGTGGGCCGGACACGTAATCCGTATGAATGACAAACGATGCACAAGAGCCGTTAGTGGCTGGATTCTTCGGGATGTCAAACGTACTGCAGGAAGACCACCGACCCGATGGTCAGAGTTCTTCACGAAAAGCATAGAGGAAAGATATGATGCTCAACGAGTCTCTAAAACAAGCAGAACCCACTGGGCTACTCTTGCACGCGACAGGGAAGAATGGAAGAGTTACTGGCGCTCGCTCGAGTCACTCGACGAACAACGGTCCTACAGGTTATACAGGTGGTGCATATTATATTCGTCGAAAATAGATGTTTACTACACTACCAAATGCAACCATTTGTTATTTTTATCTATATCACCAGTCTTATCTTGCTTCCTTGAATTCCTCTTATTCGGTTCGTTGTCTTTCATCCTTCATCCACGAAGGTTTACTCATTTTGTTTTTGGTTTCGGCTCGTATTTGAGGATGTTTTTACTAACGAATGTGATTCTGTAGCTGTCGAGTTAATACTTCCATGAATCCTGGGATAGCTTTAACAGAGCGTTCCCTGGTGTTCATCATAGGAAGTCGTCACTCCTTGTGGATCGATCCAAGGAGCCTTTCACAGAAAAGTGTAGTATTATAGGAAGAATGGAGGATTATCTGGAGGGGCGGTGTGGAGATGGGTCAAAACAGCAAACATCGGTATATTTTCGAAGTGCGTCTAATAAAAGCGACTCACTACATGATATAATGTGAACTGAAAACAGATCGGCAGGTTCCTTCTAAATAAATTGGCGAAAACCATAATTTATTTCGATACGAGTGTAATAGTGAGATGCACCAGACTTAGACTTCGTTGACTTAAATGTTCAGGAACTACTAAATTAGAACAGAAGTTATTTCCACGACAACTTGTCACCAAACTTGTTACCAAATTTCTGCAAAATTTCATGGTCCAAAGCATCAGAAGGAAGTACATTTGGTACCGTGACTGCCGCAATACTTGAATTGTAGAGTGGCATTTTTCCATAAAGTGACACACATGAACAATAGACACTATCTAACCTTTGTTTAATTAAGTAAGTTTAAAGGTTCAAAAATGTATTACGGAAGGTAAACAACTTTTATAGGAAAGAAGCTTCAAACAAGCCAAGGTCCAAGATCCTATACACGTCTTGCTATACACGTCTTTTCGGCTTCTAGTTGCGCTTTCATCATCGATTTATCCCGCTTAGTCCAGTAGCGTTCGAAAGGGGCTTGAATCATTTCCGGAAGTATTCCTTTCACTTCTTATATCACACTAAAAATCGTCCCTAAGACACGGCACTACTACATAGCGACTAATACACATTCCTATTCCTCCATTACTGTTGAGAATTCTGGTTGTCAACAAAATGCTACATAAAGCAATAGTTTATTCTGACTCTTTACAAACCCGAATGGGTTCTACAGTCATTGTTTTAAACATCTTCTTCGATCATTAAGCAAAAGACGAGGTTGGTAAGAGGATTTGTTTTATATCGTCTTGAACATCTTTAGTCTTTAGAATTTTATAATATTCAAATATAACGTACTTCATCTAACTCACTGATAAAATGATTACCAATGGGACGTACAAATATCTCTAAACATCTGAATGGACAGAAAACATTTTCTACGATAGGGGAAAAATAAGTTGAAGAAAAGAAATGGGTAAGGAAATGAGCGAAGGCATCTCTAGCAATGTCGAACACTAGTAAATCGTCACTTATTGACGATTCAAATGAACAGTGAATTTCAAATTTCAAATGAATCAAGTAGGATTTACATCGCATATGTGATGATGGGTGCGGGGGCCCATTCCACGAGTGTGTTGCAGGGTTCCTCCGACCTCTATGCACACGCTCCCAATGATTAACATGAGGTTAATAAAAAAAAGTTATCCGGTTAACGTCTCGGTGCTTTTGCCTTCTTAAGAGTCGCATCGATCTGAGTCGATAGTGCAGGTGGTCGCCTCTCGTGACTTGAGTGTTGATTGTCGCATGCTGCTTCCACATGCCTTTCGAGTTATAAACTGACGATATAGGTTCCTTACTGAGAAACGAATATAGTAAATCATATGCTAGCCATACAAGAGTCAATTTTACTGATTAACTGATTGCTATTTCGTTTACAAAAACTATGATGAGTTATCCATTGTCTTCACATTGGGGATAGTCGCTAGGCTACGTGGTGCGTCCCCAGATGGCGGATAAGGGGTTAATCGCGGACGAAAAGCGACCTTTGCTTCCCTGGGAAGCAAGTGGATCCAGGGGATGGACACCCTGTTTCTGCTGCGCTAATTTGGCACATACTTTCTACATTTCAGAGGGGTATTAAAGCTGCGTGTGTGATTTTAGAGGCGTGTTCATGCATGCGTGTGTGGGTACGTTTTTGCTTATGCGGATTCTATTCTAGAAGTCAATTCGGCCAAAACCTGCAATCAAGAGACGGGGAAGTATATGGGAGGCGGTTAGAAGTCGCCTCCAACAAATAAGCTCCATGTCCACTCATGTTCAGAGCCCAGCAAGCTATACGTGGGTGTCAAAACGTTAAACATCTCAGGACCATTAAATCTGCCTAATTCGCAAGAAACTAAAGTGATGATCTGTACCCATAACGCACGCAAACGTGCATCCGAGTTCTTGATGGAAGAGTTGATCACGCAAGCAAGAAGGATGAGGTACGACACCATCGGCCTGGCTGAGACGAGACGACACCACTCATTCAACATCGTCTAAGACACCACAGAGGAAGTGTTCCTCGGAACATGCCCCAGTAAAAGAGTCGGCGGCGTCGGCGGCGTCGGCGTTCTCGTCAGCACGAGTTTGTCCATGAACATTGATTAATTCGAACAACTAACAACCCGAATCGGACGTTTACGATGAAAAAAGTGTGGATAAATTCCGGCTTTGACAATCTTCGTGGTTTACGCGCCGACTTCAAACTATGACGAAGAAGAAGTCGAAGCTTTCTATACGGACTTGAAGAAGCTCTACAGAGAAGACCACACATTCTTCAGGGTCATCGTTGGAGATTGCAGCGCCAACATTGGACCAAGAAGAATGTCTGAAGAACGTCACACTGGGAGCCACGGATTAGAATGGAACGAACAGGGTGAGCGGATGTCTGAGTTTTCTGACGACAAAGATCATCCGTGGTAATTCGCTATTCTAGAAATTCCGCCTTCAACGCTGTACATGAGGGTCTTCCAGTGGAGAGCACCATAAAGATATAGGCCACATCATAGTAAATCGAAAGTTTGCATAACTGATGTCGCTGTTGTCTCAAAATTTTACACTGGGTCAGACAACCGCCTCCTTCGTGAAAGATTTCATTTCTCGCGGAAACG